GTTAAAAGAGCCGGAAGAAGCTTACAATGAAAATAGCTTTCAGTTCTTAGATATGCACCACGAAATCAACAGTCATACACATTGATTTTCTTCATGTTTTGACTATTGTTATGGTCAGCTCCAAGCTGGCATATCAGGTGATGCCACGATTTGACGTCCCTGTGTAGTATGGGGCTAGCCCAACCGAAGTGATAAAAATGTATAGGCATTATGGTTCAGGGTCTTCTTTCATTCTTCATCTGCCTGCGTGCAGGATTGGAGGTGGAAGTTAACCTGGACGTGTAATGGGGGGGATGATGGTGAAAATGTCGTATGTCCTGTTTTTACATGTGTTCAGACTACAGCTGGCATTCAACCTGATTTGGATGATGATCTGTGTGAGTGGCCATTAAAGGGCCAAAAAAAAAATCAAGACAGCAACGTCGATTTGAGAAACAACTAGGTCTAACTGAAAGGGTTGGTAAAGATTTTAACATTGATAAGATGTGGGATGTACCGGAAAATATTGGGGAGCTACAAAGGCAGGATGAGTCTTTAAAATCATGTCACACTCCTGAACTGTAGAAGGACTTGCCTTCTCTGTCAGACAAGCACCTACTCTTCCTGTTTTGAAATCCCATTTGAAGACCTATTGTTAATGTCTGGCTTTCCTGATTGCCAGAGTTTGTAGCCTAACTGTGGCAATGCCAGTTATTTTATGTAGGCATATTTGTCAGGTTTGCTTGTCGCCGCCTACCTCTCTCACTCTCTTCTCCCTCTCTCTCTGCAGACACACTCCCAGCAGAGCTCACAGCTGATTACAGGGCTGGGCATTTAGGAGCGGTAAAGCTAACGTTTGACGTTCTACGAAGTTTGGCCACAGAAGACACTGCGATCTACCGTTTATCTCTTGAGGACAAAGCCCTGTCTTCCTTCACTGTTACCGCTCCCACAGGTTCTGCTATGTAGATGACACATGGGTTAAAATCAGAACCCAGGAGGTGGAGGCTTTCACCAAGCATATCAACTCTGTGGATGGCAACATCAAGTTCACTCATGAAGATGCCAGAGATGACTGTCTGGCCTTTTTGGATTGTGCAGTTCACTTGGGAGGGGACAGAAGCCTGAAGGTAGAAGTATATCGGAAACCTACACACACAGACCAATACCTGCTTTTTGACTCACACCATCCACTTCATCACAAACTGGGAGTCATCAGAACTCTAAATCACAGGGCAGAGGAAGTGCCCACAACTGCAGAAGGGGCCAAGAAGGAGAAATTACACATCCAGAACTCCCTTAAGGGTTGTGGATACCCTAAGTGGGCCTTCACCAAAGCAAGGAGGCCCAACACCAACAGGGAGAAACCAGAAACAAGAGGGGATAACACTGTCATCCCTTATGTGGCTGGTTTATCAGAGAAGTTAAAAAGGATCTTTCGCAACCACAATATCCCAGTTAACTTTAAACCAGGGAACACCCTGCGGCAGAGACTGGTCCACCCGAAAGACAAAACAGCAGTCCACCTCCACCTGAAGGACAAAAGAGGACAGTGATGTCCAGATTCTCTCCAGAGAACATCACTGGTTCGAGAGAGGAGTCAAGGAAGCTATTTTTGTAAAAATAGAACACCCCTCACAAAATAGGGGTGGTGGACTAAGACACAGCTTGTCATCCATCTACAACTGTGTTTTGAGATCTCTGCCCAAACATGCCCACCAGGACAATAGGCGAACTTCTCAGCTCTTCCAGAACAATAACCTATGCAGTACCTGAGGCGTGTGAGTCTCAGCTGCTCCTGAAGGTGGCGCTCTTCATCACTTGGCCAACGGACCTTTATCTCCTCTGGGTCTGGCGCTTCTTGGTGATGAAAGCGGATGGGGTCCCAGCCTGTCATGATGTCAAAGGTGATGACGCAGCCCAACGAGTGCGACACTATAGACACCTTCCCATTTTTCTCAAAGTGTGAATTCCGTGAGCAAAAGAGTGAGTACAGACGGTTCAGCTCCAGAGTCAAACCCCTGGTAATCTACACAAACACATAACAACAATACACTTAGATGCATTTAACTTAGGTAGGATTTTGTTGTGAGTGAGGTAAGTTGATTCAGACTCGTGATACTAACGTTCCTGAACTGGCAGCAGGGTGACAAAGTGCAGCACCACAGCTGTGAGGAGAGGGTAAGTCTGAGTCTAAGGCTGAAAAGCCTTTGTCTAGTTTAGCCTCAGGCTCACCTCGTCTCTGTACAAAGGGCTGGTGTAGTACATGATGTCCATGGCGCTGCTGTTCAGCATGTCTCTGAGACCTCGTAGCTTGTCTGGAGTGATGGAGTCCACTGTGTCTGCAGGGAAAACATACAAACACATTCAACTGGCTGGCTGCTTTCTGATCTGTGTTACATACTTGTATATAAGATTGTGGAACAGCCTTCCATTGGAGATTAGGTCTGCCCCAAGCCATGGAGCTTTTAAATCACAACTGAAAACTCATTTGTTCTTTTTGTCTCTTGACACTAACTAAGGTCGGGTGCCTTGGGTGCTTCTCCTTTGATGACTTGTTTTATATGACATTTTCATATGTAGTATTGTACTGTATATGGTAGGTTAGTTTTAATGTCTGTGTTCTCTGATGTCTGGGTATGGTATGTTGTATGATTTTTGTTACATTTTTTTGTCATTGTTATCCAGTTTGTAACACCTTTGTAAGTGTCATATAAATAAAATTACTATTGCTATTGCTACTTATATAAGCACATAATTTTTGGTTTTCAATGACCACACATAAATGATGATGGTCAGTAGTGTCACTTTTGTGTATACCTCGATAACTACTGGCCATAAAATTTGGATATGACATTTCAAATTCACAGAGGAGGAGTCCATGATGAGGCGCCACAAAGAACTAAAGAACACATGGCAATGAAAACAGATTATGTAAGGTCTCCAGATGAATCAGGGCTTTTGATAACCCTCTGATCTTTGCAATTTGGGATATCCACAAGCCAGAATGTTATTTTCTTTTATTATTTAACCATAACATTTACTGAACACTTGGGTCCAAATTGTATTTTTAGTCCCATTTTAGACAGCATTAAAAATAGTTTCATTGTCACTTTCTTGTGCTTTCCCTTCAGCATTTTTGTACTGAATACTTGCAACAACCAGGGTTTAAGCCTACTCAGTACCCCTGCAAGCATACTCAGATACACCCACTTTACACAAAGCACTTACAGATTTGTTCCCTATGTGCACTAGCATTCATCTTCTACTGTATAAATATTTACTTCTTATATAATGTAGCACATCCAGTATGGAGAATCCTAGTACTATTATTTTGTCCACTCCATTTATATCAGCGAGGATAAACAAAATACCAGAAACAAAACTCTGTATACCGCCATCCCTTGCCATCTCTATCACCTCATGTAAACTTTTCTAGCTCACCACTGCCTGTCTAAGGATAGCTTTTGTTTTGGATGAGTGTGCGCTGAGGTGCAGCATACCTCCATCCAGAGTCAATTTTGACCTCCACTCCACAGGGAGGAACTCCACATGCTCTGTAGTATGATCAGAGAAGTGCTTCTCCTCCATCTTTCTGGCAGCTTCTCTCATCCTGCGTACCAGCCGGTATAAGACAATTACTTCAAGAATTATTCTGATTCCATTTAATTCTCTGTGCTCCCACTGGAAACCTCCCTATAGCTCACATGCTGGTGTTCCTGATGATGCGGCCCTGGTCCATCTTCTGGCCAATGCCATGCACCACAAAGACAATGTGTGTTGTTTCAGGTGGGGTGTCTTCAGGTGCTGCCTCCTCCACATACCCGCGATGGAGACGTGTCCCGCTGCTGGAGGCTGAGGACATGAGAGGGAACATTAATACACATTGTGCTGTGTGCTAGTAATGACTAAATGACTAAAAAAAAGAAAGTGTTTACTGTTAACCACTGAAAAGTCTGCACTGGTATGTATAGGTGCGTTGTTTCAGGTATCACTGAGCTACCTTTAAGATTAGACTTAAGACTTTCCCTTTAGTTATACTGCTATAGGCCTAGGCTGCTGGGGGGCTTCCCATGATGCTCTGAGCGCCTCTCCTCTCCTCTCCTCTCCTCTAGACCTTACTATGTAAACTGTCCTGAGATGATTTTAGTTGTGGCTTGGCACTATATAAATAAAATTGAACTTGCTCATGTAGTAAGTCTGTGAGCATTTTGGCTTGTCAGACAGACAGGAGTTTACAATGTACAACTCTGTAACACAGAATTTTTCATTCTTGTATTTCCACTTTCTTTAATTAATTAATTAATTTATTGTAATTTGGGTGAACTGAGGCTTTTATACAGTTTTTAAGCTCATAAAGGTACTACATCTATAGCCAGACTAGCTTCCACAACTTTAGGCTTACAGTGGTAAAACAGTTGTACAATGCAAAAAGAGAACAGCAATAAACCACCATCCAATGAATGTATGAAAACTACATTCTAGAAAATTCCTGTAAGGTGACACATTTGATAAATTTTCCAATATTTTATGGGTTTCTAGATAACTTAAACCTTTTGAAATTTTAGCCCTGCACAAACATCCTTTACTTTGCTATAGTTTAAGTCCCTTGATGACTCATGACCTTGTGTCTCACTCTTTTAGTTCAACAAGTCAAATTATTCATAAACATGCTCTTGGACTTGATTGGTTAAACATTGTTTTTTTTTTTCATATACCTTTAGAGAATCCCAGTTTCTGAGTGACGGTGCGTGCGATCTTGGAGGTGGTGGCATCACTGTACAGATACACTTCGTCCACACTGTGCCAGTCCACATGACTTCTGCTTAGCTTCAGACTGTGGATGGCTGGGAAACAGTTGTACTGTGTTTAACAGCAGGTGACAAACTTCAGCCAGTGTAATTAATTCACCATTCCATATGAGGGTGTGTAGAATGTAAAAATAAAACTTCATTGCATTAACGCCAATTTACAAAAGTCAGGATACAGATAGTATATGAACAACATGTCTCTTTCTCTCTCAGATGAGCTTTCAATTGGTTCAGTTGGAGTCCGCTAAAATAACTTCACCTGGCTTTTGTGTCCTAGTTCTGAATCACAGTATTACTGCCACCACACACATACACTACTAGTCAAATGTTTGGACTGGTAGCATACACGTACACACATGCACACACAAACACACACGGTAACACATTTCACAGCATCTGTAGCCTTTATACACACTCACCTCCACACACACCTTCATCTTCTTTTTTTGTCACACACAAGCATAAATCTCGCTAGGCCCCCTTTCCTCCACACTCTGTCTTACATTCCTTACCATCCTTGCTATCCACCATGGTGGTCACTGCCTCCATCTCATAGGTGTCTCTCATCTGTTGTCCACGGAAACAAGCAAGGTGCTCCAGCTCAATGAGGTCGCTCTCATCCTCCTCCAGGGGAAGCCACGTTCCATCAATGAACCATTTACCCCTCATCACTGGAATACGATCTTGCTCTGCAGGACACCACATGAGGTTTAACACCTTGTCTGAAAGCCTGTGTAGCTGATGCACACTTTATTTACTTCCCTAGAAAGACAAAGAAAGTGGGGCCACACAAAGTATAAAGTGAAAGACAGTGAATATAAGTTAGTTAGCAACTAAAAGAAGTTCAAGGGCAATGTATGAAAACAGTAAAACCATGGGAGGAGTTACACCATAAATGCATTCTCTGCTGTCCTGTGTGTTCCACTGTTTTATCTACTGTAACTGTCAGACAGTACTATTAATAGCTGAAACAGTAGTAGTGCAAATAATAACATGATATTTAAATTATTATTACTCTATGACAATAATGCCTACAGTATGTAATCTACAATCTGCTATCTCTAAGCCCCACTGATTCAATTGGTGGGGCTTAGTAATAGTCATAATAGTCATAATAACCTGATAGTAGGCTGGCTGTAGAAGCATCTGCTTGATGTCATTGATAGTGGTAACTGTAATAGGTCTGTCCAGTACAGTAGCCGTTATAGCGCTGTTTCTAATACTGGGAATACTGGCAGTAAAAAATGGGTGCTGGTATTAACAGCAGCAGGGGTTGTAATAAAGAGATGTTTTACTAGTAAAATAGAGTGAAGTAGGTCAGTAGTAGTAATAGGCTGGTAGAGAAGTGGTTATGTTTAACAATAACTTCATGGTAGTAGTACAGTTGAAATCAGAAGTTTACATAGACTTAGGCTGAAGTCATTAAGACTGATTTTTTTAAAGGCATCATAGATGTCACTTGCCATACTCATACCATGTCTCTTGGTGTACAGTTTATTTTTACTGCACTAACCCTCCTGGTGTGTATTTCTTATTGAATCTAAATGGTCCGCATTTACAGACACAACAAACTTCAAAAACGTCACTGAGCAGGATTGTGTATTCTCTATAAGTGTCATTCAGGTGTGGATGGAAGATATGGATAATGTCAAAGTTACAGGTTTAATACAAGGATGACAGGAAAAGACAAGTAAGATAAGCATTGTCATTAGCATGACCTCTGCTGGGTTAAAGTTAAGTTAACATTATAGCAGGTTATTTTTACGATGGTTTCAAGTAATTACTGTAACTTTTACCACAAAGGTCAGCAGATTTCAGTGTAGAATGACAGTTTTGGCACGCAATGTAATATTACTGTTCTAACAGCAGAAATAAAGTGGCTAAAGTTACGTAACTTTTGTGTGTGTGTGTTTTAGATAACAGCAACAATGCTGTTCAAAGTATGATATCAAGGAAAGAAGCGGTACATCAAATTGAATGGAGCCTCAGACTCATTATTTCTGACAGAGGGTAATGTGTTTTAACGATGGTTACGTACAGTAACCAAAGCCTCTATGAGTGTAGGCATAGCCCTCTAAGAGCTGTCGCTATTGTCCGCTCGGCGCGACCTGCCTCTCTTCCCCTTTCTCTCTCCTGCTCTTCTCTCTCATTCCGCAGGCTCATTGACACAGCTGAAATGCATCACCTGCTAATTCACTCCCGGGTTTAGCACACAGCTGAAGCTCATCCCCATTAATCACTCTTCCCTATTTAAAGCACTGGCAGACGCTCATGCATCGCCTGATCATTGACACTGATACGGAGATCAGTAATGTTATGATAACGGTGACATTCGACAGTGAGTTTTATGTTTTGATGCGGCCACACAAGTTGGCGATCTTCTCTGCCGTGATTATCTCAGGCGATCTACTCTACTTACCTGATGGTGTTCGCTACTCTACTCGCCGACCCTTATCTTCTGGTTCCAGGTTCCTGCCCCGATTACCTCTGGCGATCCTCCTGGTTCCTGCCGCTTGCCTGTCTACTCACCTTCCCATCCTCCTGGTTACTGCTGCTCTCCTGTCTACTCACCTGTCCATCCTGGTCCTCTGATCCTCCTGGTTCCTGCTGCTCGCCTGCTTGTTTACCTGCCTGTCCTGGTCTTCTCAGCCTCCACTGCTCAACCCTGGTTTGGACCACACATAACCCATTGACCTTGTCCACTTATCATCTGTGTATATAGCAATAAAGACCCTTTCCCACTAGCACGAGTTTGCACCCTGAGTCCTCCTTCTCTCTCTCTCTCGCTCTATCTCCCACCTTGGTGAGGGACACCCAACCATAACAGCTATTGGGTTTATCCCTCGTGCATGTGCAGTCCTGAAGAGATTCTTTTGTGCCCTGTGCCCTGCACTGGGCTGTCCCCAAACAGAACTGCTGTGGCGGCATACAGTGGTGTGAAAAAGTGTTTGCCCCCTTACTGATTTCTTATCTTTTTGCATGTTTGTCACACTGTAATGTTTCAGATCGTCAAACAAATTTATATATTAGTCAAAGATAACACAAGTAAACACATCATGCAGTTTTTAAATGAAGGTTTTTATTATTAAGGGAAAACAAAATCCAAAACTATAGAGCCCTGTGTGAACAAGTGTTTGCCCCCTAAACCTAAGAACTGGTTGGGCCACCCTTAGCAGCAACAACTGCAATCAAGCGTTTTCGATAACTTGCCATGAGTCTTTTACAGCGCTGTGGAGGAATTTTGGCCCACTCATCTTGGCAGAATTGTTGTAAGTCAGCCACATTGGAAGGTTTTCGGGCATGAACTGCCTTTTTAAGGTCATGCCACAGCATCTCAATTGGATTCAGGTCAGGACTTTGACTAGGCCACTCCAAAGTCTTCATTTTGTTTTTCTTCAGCCATTCAGAAGTGGACTTGCTGGTGTGCTTTGGATCATTGTCCTGCTGCAGAACCCAAGTTCGCTTCAGCTTGAGGTCACAAACGGATGGCCGGACATTCTCCTTCAGGATATTTTGGTACACAGCAGAATTCAGGGTTCCATTTATCACAGCAAGTCTTCCAGGGCCTGAAGCAGCAAAACAGCCCCAGACCATCACACTACCACCACCAATATTTTACTGTTTGTATGATGTTCTTTTTCTGAAATGCGGTGTTACTTTTACGCCACACATAATGGGACACACACCTTCCAAAAAGTTCAACTTTTGTCTCGTCTGTCCACAGAGTATTATCCCAAAAGTCTTGGGGATCATCAAGATGTTTTCTGGCAAAACTGAGACGAGCCTTTATGTTCTTTTTGCTCAGCAGTGGTTTTCGTCTTGGAACTCTGCCATGCAAACCATTTTTGCCCAGTCTCTTTCTTATGGTGGAGTCATGAACACTCACCTTAACTGAGGCAAGTGAGGCCTGCAGTTCTTTGGATGTTGTTGTGGGGTCTTTTGTGACCTCTTGGATGAGTTGTCGCTGCGCTCTTGGGGTAATTTTGGTCGGCCGGCCACTCCTGGGAAGGTTCTCCACTGTTCCATGTTTTCGCCATTTGTGGATAATGGCTCTCACTGTGGTTCGCTGCAGTCCCAAAGCTTTAGAAATGGCTTTATAACCTTTTCCAAACTGATAGAGCTCAATTATTCTCTTTCTCATTTGGTTTTGAATTTCTTTGGATCTCGGCATGATGTCTAGCTTTTGAGGATCTTTTGGTCTACTTCACTTTGTCAGGCAGGTCCTATTTAAGTGATTTCTTGATTGCGAACAGGTGTGGCAGTAATCAGGCCTGGGTGTGGCTAGAGAAATTGAACTCAGGTGCGATAAACCAGTGTTTTGACAGGGGGGCAAACACTTGTTCACACAGGGCTATATAGTTTTGGATTTTGTTTTCCCTTAATAATAAAAACCTTCATTTAAAAACTGCATGATGTGTTTACTTGTGTTATCGTTGAGTTTTTCTTCGCCCGATGGGGGTGGAGACAGCAGGGCTGCCAACTTAGAGGGCTACGCCTATACTCATAAAAGCCTGGGTTACTGTACATAACCATTGCTCTATCATATAGGCTTCACTCTCTAAGGGCTGTCGCTATTGGGATAAAATTGCAGCTGGATGTAGTCAATGCCCTGTTAGCACAGCGCCGCCCAAGAGCATTAAAAACAACACCTCAGCTTGCCAATATACCCCATAATAGCATCCTAAAAACAACATCCTCTCTCCTGCATCAGACCTTGACTGAGAAGCAGGTGCAATCATGCCCATGAAACACCTGACTGCCCACTGTGAGAAGGCAGAGTGGCCATTCTGTTTAACAGGGGAGGAGAAGCGCAGGGAAGAGTGCACAGTGAGAGTTTGCGCCTGACAACACATGGCTGGAACAATTGAATTGCAAGAGCATACTCTGGATCATGTTTACAGTAACATATGTGGTTCTGACAGGGCCGCACCCCGCCCCCACCTTGGACCACATTTCTTTGTTCCTGTATCCGGGGGTCCTAGCCATGCCTTAAAAAAGGCAGTGCAATAGCTCTCGTGGAGTGGGCTCTGATGTCAGGTGGAGGATCACTCCCAGCTGACATGCAAGCCTTCGTGATAGCCTCACACAGCCAGTGAGACAGCCGTTGTTTGGTTAAAGGCTGCCCAAGAGAATGCTTCCTGGAATGTACAAAACACGGTTGTGTTTGGCTGACAGCTGCCATGTGAGCCACATAATGGGACAGTGTGTGTACCGGGCAGAGAACATGGAGTTCTTTCTCGGACTCATCTTTGTGAGGTGGAGGCAAAAACCCATCCAGGGAAATGACTCTGGATCAAAAAGAGGATGACATTATTTCCGGTGCATAAGCAGGATTTGGTCTCAGAACTGCTGAGCTGCCATCTTCACATATAAGAAGGCACGCCGGTGAGACAGACAGTGTGCACAGATTGCCCACTCACTTAGCAGAAGTCAGGGCTGAGAGAAGCACTGTTTTCAGGGAGAGATGTTTAAGAAAGATTTGTGTTATGGGCTCAAAGAGAGGTTCCCTGAGCGCACATAAAACCAGAGATAAATTCCACTGTGGTGCCACAGAATGCACAGGCCACAGGCCTTTGTCTGCCTACACCACTTATAAAATGTTTCAGTAGCAGGTGTGCGAACACAGTTCTCTCACTGAAACCTTCATGGTGTGACGATATGACAGCAGCATAAGCTTTCACAGTAGACA